TATGCTTAGTGTTATTGCATCTAATGGATTCGGGCAGCTTATAACATAACGTTGTATACCTTATGAGAAGGAATTTTATGCGCAACCTTGTTCGCACTCTAGGGACGCAAAAGCTGGATGCTGTATTTCTAGTTGGATATTAGTGGAAAGTGCCAAACTGGACAGTACCTGGTTCCCCAGAATTGGTATGAGTTAAATCAAACAGGAAGATAAGATTAATCTTAATTCTTCTCAACCATTATAACTCTAGCTTCAGCAGTTTACACCATTGTTGATTAGTCAAGTATTCAAACCCTAGTAAAGGAACATTGTACTTTTTCTAGATTGATTTTGTACATCTTTACATTTGTGAATGCTAATGGGCAATATTCTAAGACTGGACACATATGTTTTGTACATAGCTAGCCTAGAGTCTTTCAAGCGTAACGTACGTGCTATGATATTTCTCGCTTTGGCGGTGACATGATGTACCTGTTCGGAGAAATTGAAAGAGTTTGAGTAGCGAACTCCGAGGTCACGAATCGTTGTGCAGCACGAAATTGGTTTGTCATCTAACATCAGTATGTCATTAATAAGGTTGCATCTGAAGAATAGGGCTTTACATTTGCCAACAGCCGATACCATTTTTCAATCTCGACACCACCGCTGAAGGGCGAAGAGCTCCATCTGTATTGTTTGAGCACCGTTTGGTTCATTTATGCTATCAAAAGCGAACACAACTTTGATATCATCCGCGCAAAGAAAGGGCCTGCCATGTCATAAGTTTATTTGCACAGAGCCCATAGCATATTTACTTTGTTGCAGCCAGTTGTCTTTCATAACCCAGTTTGTTGTGTCCACCAAAACCTTCCCCTCATGCTCACCATCTTAGACTCTTTTTCCCGCCATTTGTCCGTATCACTGATTCACCTGACAGCTATATTCGTCGACTGTAATCCTGCACAGCTAATACGCCCTGCGCATTGGATCTTTAACTGTGGCTGTGGCTTTCTGACTGGTTGAGTGCGTGACACCATTCACACTTATTATATTTAGATCTGCTGACCTTCCTCTATATACTCCTCAGTTACTCACATGTAATCCAAACCAATTTGTGCTACAACAAACTTTCGCTTTTTGCATTGTACAGTAGGATATCATAAGACCATGGTCATTATTTTCCAAAACGCGTTTCTTATGATGCAATAGCGCTCCAAGATTCTTGTACAAGCGTGACGACAGGGATCAGATGTTCCTTGTCTGCTTTTTCTGGGACATTTCCACTCCCACTTTGCACAAAGGTACCCACCCAGCTGTTTTAGCTGTTTAGCCACTGAGTCATCCTGACTAAGGCCACTGCGTCGGGATAACCTCTTACTCACCGGTCTCAGGTTATCTCGCTTTCAGCATCCGTTTGTTTCAAAATCATTCTGCTCATGCTTCACATTCACTCCCCACCTATCACTACTGCACACGGTCTCCATTTATACAATAGTCTGTGCGCTAATTAGCATTACGCTGCTTACGCTGGCCTCGGCCAGTGTATATGTTTCCGTGCTCGGAACTATCGTATTCATGCCGCACTACTTCTAGCCGGGAGGATTCTTCTTCGATCACCTTTACATCGCCCTGTAACTCCGTATCACTGTGCGGAGGGGTCACATCGGTCTATGTCTGTGGTTCCCAACATCCAAAGAGGTAAAATAGGATTTTAAAAAGAGTAAAGATTAGTACACGTGTATTGGATCGTCGCTCAGTCACGCAACAAACTTATCGACTAGGTCATCCATATTAACTAGTCTAATTTAATGCTTTGGAAAATCGCCACTCAGAATGCATAACTGCTAAGGCCCTACACGGTGAATAAAGAAATGTTTCCAGACACTGAAATTGAAACCAAAGCACAATTCCTTAAATATCTCGTAGATAACACACAAACAGGAATTTTTTAACGAATGCTGGTGGTGATTGTTCAACATTTTCGATGAAAGCATTGCAAATGCGTGAAAATGCATTTTTCAGCATGGTGATAATGAAAACAAAAGCATGGAGCTGATTTAACTTAGGGTGTGCATTAACCGAAACTACACCACACGTTATACAAATTATTGGAACTAAGAAATATCAACCGTCTCATTAACTTGCACTGCTTGAGGTAATGACATAAAATGCTCTAAAATAAGCCCTTTTGTCGGGATGATTGAAATTCATTGAAAAATGAAGTTATGTTCCATAAATTGAACCAAAACGTGTGACAGCTGAGTTGATTCGTTTTTTAAGCTAAATTTTTGTTGGTACTTATATTGAAATTGCTTTAGGGGTAACACTCTCAAAATGTTGGGAGCCACTGGCCTATGTATTTAGATAAAAGTTGTGAGGTTACCTGTGATGTTTCAGCTGGGCTTTCGCTACTTGTTTTTCGAGTGATGCAACATGCTATAACTGACCCATAATACGCCCCATCCTGCTTCGTCAACGTCATATGATTACATCCAAATCGCTCCCATTACGACATATCAGCGGGGGTGCTTCCTCAGCGAGCTTGCACATCCTTGTTTGAGCTCCGTTCCGTTTGAGTTCACCGTTCCTGTTGCAGTTTAATCAACTGCATGCACTTCAGCCGAATGGTCTAATTGGTGGGTGACAGGAGCAATCTCACTGTTGATATGGTTGCAAATTACTTTGTACCGTTTTAAGTCTCTCCCTAGTGTCTTCCTACCCCAATTTCGTCATCGCAATTGCTTTCTCTGTGAGAGATTGATGCGAGTTTTTCCACTTGCTGCGTCCGGTGCTCCATCTTAAAATTACTTTTGCGCCCCTGCTTATCAACAGGAGGCCAATTTGATCCATCTTGCAGGTTCGTGCCGAATAGGGTTTTTCGCTTTGTGAAGTTCACATATCCTCTATCTGTGGTACATTCGGCAATTTCAATAGCACTGGAACTAATTAGACATATTGTAGTGCGCCTTTGTTACTCGGGCGCCTGTATCATTTTTGTACCTAGTCTGTAAGATTCACCGTTATCATCGCTTCCAGCCGTAACAACTCTGAGAGTCTATTGTTTAACGTGACGTGGTCAAATGTGAGTGATGACTGACAGGCTTGGTACTGTAATGCATTGTTTTCGGTATCTGGACTTATCCTACCCATCTGCCTGCCTTGTTCGACTTGTTTGGACCGCATCATGATTGCCGCTAATACTTCTGCGACCGTTCACCTAACCTATTTCCTATTATGGTTGGAACCTGACTAAGTCAGTGAGATTCCTTTAGAGGTGCTGTTACTTGTGTCGACCGCTGATTATATGCACATCAACCAACATTTCCATGTCTGTATTCAATATCGCAACTTTTATTCATGTATAGACTCCGGTCTTCCCTTTCTGTTTCACACTTTGAATCTCCATTCGCCTTCTTTGGCAATCATTTACAATCTCTTCATTGCTAACTTCATTCAGTTGACGATGGCCATGTTGATCATCGCTTTACCTTTTCCTTACTCTTAACGAATCTTGATTCTTGTCAAAAGTCGATTGCTAAGGTAGTAGTATGGTTATGTAAAGATTTCTAACTAGGTTCCTGACTTCTGAACACCGACACACATCCTCCAAACCTCGTTAAAAGCGCTGAGCTGTCACTTCATCCCGTCGGGGTGCATCCACAGAGCACACATGCTCAGAGTCCTGTTTAATTCGAGCAAATTGCAACTGAGCGAGTTTTGCCATCAGACGCTCGGTGACTGCAGTGGACTGCATGACTGAGTTACTAATTACTATGCAACGCGCCTCTTCTTTTGGAGCAACATCTTGCTTGGAAATGACAGATGAGACACCCTATCACAGTTGCTTACTTTTTATGTGGGGCGCCGCTGGTTCCAGTTGTCCAATGGTATAAATTTTCGGCCTATATTTTTCACGCTTGTTTGTTTAAATCCTACAGGTTGCGTCCCGATGTAACTAAACCGTCGTTTTAATCATGTGCTCTCTTTATATGACCTTACGTCTGGCCTGACAAAATTCACCGTTCATCCCTTGGTTATGCTGTCATCATTCTCGATGGATATCAACTGCTTTTAACTGCGATAGACAATGACTATCATTGCCCGCTGCCTTTGCCATTTGTTTTGAATGATAGTCCATCCTGACCCCTGACTTCGTGTATCATGTGTTGTGTTGTGTTCTCTCGATTACTACAGTTTGTTCGCATCGACTCCCCTTTCTGTTGTTGTTGCTGCTGCGTACGCGTCTGTTCTTGCTCTTCCATTTTAAGGAACCATATGTGAGCCGTTCGTCGTGGTGTACTATGCACCTTACTCTTCTTATTGTCTCCTTTTGCCCTTCACAGACAATGAGCAAGCGTTAGCTCACAGAAATTCTTTTTTGTCCTTCAGTTTCTTAGTACATCATTTATCCTCATTTGTCTACCTCTCTCATGAGGGATTATCTTTTTTCGCCGATTTACCTAACCGTTCCCCACTGATCTTTCTGTATAGGTACTTCTATTTTTCCACTTTCTCAAGTTTCCATCTGCATCGCTCTTGTTTACGGCGCATTTCCGGGTTGGTGATTTATGTTCAGTCCATAGATTACATGCACACGCTATCGGAGGCGCCGCGCCTTGTCTCAACCCATTGTTTGTGGGCGTTGCAGCCACTCGATTGTCTTTTTTCGGTGCGCACTGACTCGTTCATCGGCTTTGCACAGACCGTCCCACGTGTCCAAGCGCACACGCTCATTTGAGTGGGCCGGTCGATTGGAACGATGGTGTTTGTTCCTTTCGTAGTGCTCTAAGCAGACTTACTAACGACAGGCTCTTTAAAGCGAGGTTACTCTGCTTATCGTATCTCAAACGGTACTTTCGGCTGACAGCCGCTTGCAAACGAAGATCACTAGGGCCTTCAGGTTTACGCGGGTACCATAAAGTTCCAAATATCACATTTTAACTTCTCCTTTAGTATCTATCTGCCATCGTTTGTCGCTCAATATTTCTACTCTCCGTACACTTATGTTCCTTCCGTTTCAGGTTCAAGAGGCCCTCGAGAAAATCACCACCGATCACACCGAGGTGCAACGAGCGTACGAGAAGCTGACCAAAGAGAAAAACCAGCTGCAAGCGGAACTCGCGCAGGAACATGAGTCTAGTCAAAATGTACTCGAGGTACATTTTTCCTTTGTTATTGGCTTGCTTTGTGTATTCGTTTTTTACTAATCTCCATTTCATCCGCCATAGCTTGCGAGGGGCCAGATGCGAACTGAATGATCCTTATTGTATCATTCGGATGCTTCGTTTGCAAGTCACTATGTAATCAAATCACGAATCCATAAGTTAGTGAACCAGACCATCTGCTTTATTGTGCATCGAGATGACCTTGGTCAGAATGAGACAATTCGTTTCCGGACCCATCAGTACTCAGTTGTAAATAATGTCAAAAAGCGCATTCCGTTTACATCCGCACTCTACTTTTATCCAGCGGACGCATATTGTTACCATGACGTCAGGAGAAATATCGTATCCTCATGAAGTATCGGCGCCAGCCGTCGTCAGCTCAAGTATACCATGAATAACAGATTGCCCATATCACGTGCCCAACACTGTCTCTTTGGCTACCATTTGTTGCTCCCCCGCTGGTTCCACTTACCAGTGATGTTTTTGACACACACTTACATTTTGCCATTGCACTAGAGTTTTCCTTGACTGATGGGCACCTTTGGTTTTGTTACTCGAAACTGTCTTTACTTCGTTGTCACTTTATGAATCTTCCGTCAGCTTTGTTCTGGGTGACTTTTGGGCCATGTGCAATTTTAGAGAGCGCTTTGCCCTCGGTTCACCTTTACATCTGTGTTTGTCAGGACTACTTTTTCGCTTCAGCATTGTCGACTCGGGAGGGACTCATGTATGCGGACGACATGCTTTTGTGGGGGACGGGGTTTCGTCGGTCCCAACTTCTGTACGAGTGTTGATCAATAGGCCGATTCAATGCGAGGCATGCCTCCACGCACAATTCACGCCCTGGATCCGTAATGCATTGCCTCACATAGCTGGTATCATTTTCATTATCACCAAATGATAACTCAGTGACTTGTTAATCCACTTATTTGCGTAACGTCGCCACCATTTTTGTTGACTCACTGAAGGAGTTGTTATAGTTAACTTCGACTACCAACGTGTATTCGGAGTGCCCGAACAATATGTATCCAGTTACGTTGATGCGCCTTGCCGAACTTATACCTTCACGCAAGTAAACTGTGAGAAAAAATTGCGAGAGCATATCTTCTGTCCTCTTTGATGAAGGCCTTATGGGAGGACAGTGTATCAAATTTGATAAGAAATAAAACGGAAAAGAAACTAACGTGCTGTTAATTGTTTAAAACTGCCAAGTGTGGGCGATGGCTCGAATGTATGAGCACCATTGGCTTCACAATTTCATGGTCCCCGGATAAGGTCTGTAGCTAATTCCGCGACCGTCTCTTCCAATCACATCCGAGCAAATAGTGTACCCCAGTCTTACCACGTGTTTCAGTCCATTTGGACCTGTCGCCTCATCAGCTGATCGTTTTCCAACATTAGCGTGAACAGTTGCGGTATTGATAAAAATAGTCCCCTAATAAGCGGATTGGAGGGCGTTCGCACGCAGACTGCAACTTAGATTACACCATCCGTTGCGGTGCTATGGCGTTTTACTTCTCACCAACTGGCATACCGCCCCGCGAGCACTTCTGGTCGTCAGAGTCTCTCACCTTCATTATGCCATCCACGCATCGATGCGTCTGCTTCACACAACCACACCGACTGCATTACAACGTTGTGCAGTCCAACGTTTACCTTTAGACCGATAGCACATAGATTTTGCAATATTTTGCAATGCCGCATCAACCGTACAGGTGCCTACGAACCTCCCATCCAGGAGATAAATGTCACAACTGGTGCAGCTACCTAGATGGGTAGACCGATTGCCCACTTTTAGAGGCTACTCAATGTTGACACGGACAGTTAGCATCACAACCTAGCTCTGCGAAAGCACTCTGTATCTTGAATAGACGGAGCACATGTTAATGTGCGGCGCCCCACTTCAGCCTTTCCGGCACCGCTGATAAAGTAACTGGATCCTACTACAAGCGCCGGGGATGCGGATGGAAGAAGAGGAGGAGTCGTCATGGGATGACTTGGTCAAGCGGAGTGTAGTCCCTTATTTCTTTGTTTCCTGGCGGTACTTATAAGTACCATTTTGTTTAAATTGTTCTGCTGCTTCACTGTAAGTGTCATTCCTACCGGCACTCGTGAGGATACGTAAAGTAGCCTTCTGTCAACAATTAAGTAAGGGTCAGAACTCTGATACTTTGCTATACAGTGTGTGAAGTAAACTGTTGTGTTTCATGTCGATCCATAGGTAAATTAATTCAGAGCTCAAAGGGTTACTTTGAAGTTGGCCGCGGTTGGAGCCTCTCGGCTCCCTGGTTGGGGACCGAATGACAATGAGTACCTTTGGCTTCATACACTTGTTGGCTAAGCGCCGACCTCAGTGACGTTTGTGTTGTGAGTTCCTTTGTCCCTCCCCTCCAACCACGATCTCACTCATTAGTCATGATATAATTCCTTATGCGGTATAATAGCCGACTGTTAACTCTCCGAAACGATATCCATCCGTTATTGGTGACTCAGCTGACGTGCCTCTGTTGCATGTTTTTTCCCTTTATTGCGGCATAATATCTGAGGTGTTTTCCACCTCTGTCTACCATGTATAATGATAAAAGATGATCTCCAACCACAAGTTGAGTGAGTAAAAGTAGAATAGATCGAACCTAAAGACCCCTTCTCCTACTGTGTCAGGGTGTGGGACTTTTGCATGTTCCTGGTGTTGGAGTCATAAAGGTGTCACAGTAGGGAGATTTCCTCCGGAATGTCCCCCACTACTAAGCAGTTGCATAACCAGAAGTGCTTGAAAATGAGGTTCGTGGACCATTTTTATATTGGGCACTTCTCATGGGGATTCTCAAAAGCGCCGGTTACCTACCACAGTATTGTTTTTATACGCTTTTGCCTCGGTTAAACTGATGCCTCGGTGCTTTTCGCAGGTTGTCCTTTTGGTCCTTTCCAATGCTTAAGACAACGATCCCCGCTTTGATTGCATCCTCTTGGTGTACACCATCTGGTGTTGAATAGGGTCTTTTGATCAACGGTCAACTAGACTCTTTCTTTTCCTCCACAGTGGATACAGGGGCATACCAGGTCATACACTAAGCTTCCATCGAGAGTGTTCTGCTGGGATTGTTGCCATCTCAGATGCGCAAATAATTGTGCATTCAAGTCTGTCATTTCAGAAATTTATTCGAGCGCTTATGATAATCAGTCTTGACCTTAGTTGTCAACGCTACACAGTTGGCTTCTACGAGGGTCATTCAATAAATAAGGTGAATTTCTCGGTATAAGGACTTCTAATACAGATAGAAGCTTACTTTTTGTTTATTTTTGTTGTTTTACTTCTTTTTCACATGAATGTAATTTCTTTTGCAGATTGAAAAATACTTTGTCGTGGCGATTAACAAAGATGGCCGACCAAGAAGCATGCTCCAGGATTGAATAGCGGTCAGTTATCAAGTGTTTGGTTGCTGAAGAATGCAAACTAGTTGAAATTCATAGGAGAATGTCAACTGTGTATGGTGCCACATGTTTCAGCCGAAAAAATGTCAGCAAGTTGGCAAAATTGTTTAAAGAAGGATGGAGCAGTGTTGAGAATGAAGACAGGCCTGGGAGGCCTGCAGAAGTAAGGTCTCCTGAGGTGACCGAATCAGTCAATGACCTCATTCAGTCGGACAGAAGGGTGACAGTGGATGACATGGACAATTTTGTGTGCCGCCCCAACAGATAAGCTCAAATTCCTTGCAATGTCATCCACTGTCACCCTTCTATCCGACTGAATGAGGTCATTGACTGACTCGATCACCTCAGGAGACCTCAATTCTGTAGGCCTCCCAGACCTGTCTTCATTCTCAACACTGCTCCATCCTTCTGTGAGCAATTTTGCCAACTTGTAGACACTTTTCGGCTGAAACATGTGGCATCATACACAGTTGACATTCTCCTATGAATTTCAACTAGTTTGCATTCTTCAGCAACCAAACACTTGATAACTGACCGCTATTCAATCCTGGAGCATGCTTCTTGGTCGGCCATCTTTGTTAATCGCCACGACAAAGTATTTTTCAATCTGCAAAAGAAATTACATTCATGTGAAAAAGAAGTAAAACAACAAAAATAAACAAAAGTAAGCTTCTATCTGTATTAGAAGTCCTTATACCGAGAAATTTACCTTATTTATTGAATGACTCTCGGATCTCCGCATACTGATACTTCACAGTCTTTGAGCAACAGGACCGAGGCCCAGTACATGAGAGTTCAAGTTTATGTGGTTTCGTTCTTTTGTTGTTACATCTTCCATATGAGGACACTTCATCCATCTCTTGCCTACCTATCCCATTACTGTTGCACTCGAATTGCTCCATATCACATGGGAGCTAATGATCTGCGAATCAAGTTCCATTGTTCGTCGCAACTACATATACATCTGAAATGCGCTTTTTCGTGTGCGGGTGTGTTGACACAACAGTGATCCGCTTTTCCATCTTTCACTAGCGACCTCGATTCATTTTCTGCATTTTCATTTGAATGCTCATGCGCCCTTGAGCTTTTATGCATCACAGATTGTGCATGCAACTTATCGATATGTTTATTTCCCTAGCGATTGATACACTTGGCTGAGTAGCCAAATGCAATTGAAGCATTAGATAAACCCTCTTACTTCAGACAGTGGATCACACCTTGCATCAATGCACTGCGGTTTCTCGTTGCAGGAACGCATGCGGTTGTTGGAAAAGGTTCGCGCTTTGGAGGAAGATTACTTGGACTTGGAGAGCAAAGGTGCTGAGGATAAAACGAAGCTACAAGCTGCTGAGCACGAGATGAAACGACTCAAGGAACAAGTGGGTCTTGCTTCGATCATACTCCGTATCCCATATGGTTTTCGCTTCCTTGGTCATTCTTATGGTAACTTCCCCTTCCTCCTGTCGTTCAGCCGATCACCTTGTGCGATAGCTGCTTACTGCGGTTTTTTCCCCATATTATGCAAATATGCCAGTGGTTGTTATTTGCTTATGTGGGGATCTGACCAAGTTTTCACCCACCTTTTGGTGCGGAGATATAAAGTGTACGCGTATACTCCTATACTTTAGTATCTAGCGATATTTCTCGGTGGCAATAAATTGCATCACTTGGGATCTCCTTGGATTCTTCGAGAATTCATTGTTTAGGTTTGACGTGCTTTGCTCCTAGGCGACATGATTTACATTAGATGTTGTGACTAATTTAAACTAGGAGTGACACCCATAACAAAGCGTTTCTCGATAAAGCGAGACTCGGTCCAGTGAACAGCTGTTCCGATGAGTATGTACAGGTCACATTGAGAACTGCTAGTGTAAACAGGTTGTTCTCCATCGACGAAAACACTCGGTCCCGTTTTCTCCAAGGTAATCATAATTATTTCATTAAAATTTCGTGATGGTTTGCTGTCCTGGAACCCGTAAAGAGGTAGAGAATGGCCATACAGTGCACAGGTTATAGAGAAGAAAAGTGATAAATTGAAAATAGTATGCATTTTTAGAGGTTGCTAGAATAGATTCTGAAACTCTCGGGTGCACAGCGTACAGGGTAATCGGTCTGGATTAGAGGAAAAGCCCAACCAACAGAAACATACCGTCATATACCTTATAAGACCCTGTCGAAACGTCACTTCTGGTTAGTCGGCGCAGTGCACCATTCAGAATTAGCTTGTTTACTTCCAGTGTCTATGCATCGAGGTCAAAAAAAACTTCATAGATGTTGACGGGATTTGGATCTCCGTTATACCAATGCGTCGGCGGTTTCACTAGCGTCTGGTAAGCGGTAAAATCACAAGTCAGCGTTTTTGAAGATATTAAGTTAATGCATTGTCCCTTCATCCAGTTTTCCCCTTCAATAATGCATTCCAATGTGTTTGTATGTCGCGTCAAATGTTTTATTGACTTGTTGCCTCTCATCCTACTGCGTTTTTAGCTCGCTGATGTGTCTGATCAACTGGAAGCGGAGGAACAGCAACGGCAGAAGATGCAGGTAGAAAAAAATGCCATTGAGCAACGAATGACTCAGTTGAACACTGAATTCGTCAGTGTGGAAGACAAACACAACAAGCTCCTCAAAGACAAGAAACTTCTGACCGATCGTGTCAACGACTTGACTGCCCAACTGGCCGAGGAGGAAGAACGTAATAAAGCGCTACTCAAGCTGAAGACTAAATTCGAAGGTAGCATACAGGATTTGGAGGAACGACTAGCTCGGGAGCAGAAAGCTCGACAAGATCTGGACCGTTCGAAGCGCCGACTGGAGGCGGAAGCTGCTGAGCGTTCTGAGCAAACCGCGGAGCAGTTGCGCAGTGTGGAGGAGTTGCAAAACACAGTCAGCAGGCTTGAGTCGGAGCTTGCTGCGCTGCAGGCTCGTTTGGACGAAGAGATTGTTGCACGGGCTGTGGCTGTTAAGAAGGTTAGTTTATCCTCCATTTGGTTGCCTTATTTTTATTGTGTATGCAAAGCAGTTTGGGCAAACGCGTTTTTTGATGTGGACACTCCCGGATCAGCGTTTGGAACGAACCAGCTGACCAGATGACTTTTCGGTGGCTCACACGTTCTATTAACTTTACCTTTGCATACCATGTTACTTAACTTTTACCGCTGAAATATTGCTGTCGATATTTTTAGTGTTATTCGTTTCCACCGCTGCGCTCTGTGACTCGTCATCTGGGCATTGGTTTCCCATCCGGTGAAGCGGTCGTACTCATTAAATGCGGACAAACGGTGTGAGCCGTTCATAACAGCTCTTGTTGACCTCACCTCATGACCTTGCGGCCCGTTTTCCCTTACACTTCCATCTGTACTGAAGTCAAACACTGGTTTCTGTTACTTTGCCAGTCTAACGTTGAGCTCCCTTGCATTTACGCGTATGTTCTAACTGTCCGAATAAGTAATGCAACGATTTCATGCTCCTACATAATGCTCGATTTTGAAACGCAGATGCGTATGTCGAATCACGCTCACATTGTTTTCTGCAGTCGTTCTTGACTCTTCCAGAGTCCATCCGCCATTGTGCCCGAAACATATTGCTAACGTCTACCGCATGCAGCACTCGGATATCAGTACTATTACTTTGACAGTGAGCTTGTTCCATTTGGAGTCACTCTGTTGCCTGTGCTCCGGGGTTTCGCCACATTTTTCAGATGATCAAAACTGTGCACTCTGATCCGGTCCTCACGATAACACGGTTGACGCACGGCATTCACAGGGCGCATATGGCTGCTTTGAGATATTCTTGGGGAATCCACACTTTAGCAGGTGCTGTAATCTATTTCACTCGCCCAAAACGGCCATGTGTAGCATTCCCTGTTCATGCCGGTCAGCTGACGGACACTGAATATTTCGCGCTAACAACACTTATTCAGCTCTGGTCTTCCACTCGTTTTGCTGCTCTCCCCAGTAGACAAGTCTTCTGATACCCTTGTATTGCGCTTTCTTTTCTAATTAGTACCGTCTAACCTCACCTTGGTGACCACCTTGCTCTCCCTATCTCTGCGTAGGCTAAGCTGTCTACATCCCAACCTTGTGATGGTACACGTTGTCATGTCTTTGCCCAATCCTCTTTACTATTATCAGGTCCGCGAATGCGAGTCCATCATACAAGAGCTGAAGGAAGATGTCGAAACAGAGCGAAAAGCCCGGGATAAGGCAGAAGAAGCCAAACGGGATTTGATGGAGGACGTCGAGGCTATGCGATCGGAGCTGATGGACAGTGGCTCCAATTCGATGGCACAAACGGAAGCCCTACGCATTTACGAGGCCGAGGTGGCTAATCTGCGCCGGCAGCTGCAATCTCAAGTTGCGTAAGTGTATGCTACATTTATCTCTTCGTACTTTGGCTCTTGTCTGGTGGGAACACTACGTGAGCAATGAGCGTGGTCGACCTCGCTTATTTGGTGCAGGGGGAGCTAGTGAACCGCTGAGCAGCGTTATATCACGCACAAGACCACCGATGGCCTGACCAATTGTTGCGCATGCCAGCACATTGACTCCCGTCGTGCATTGTTTACGCGTCGTGGGTATAGATGGAAGAAGTGGACGAGAAGTCACACGATGACTTGGTCAATATGAATGGAGTCCCTGACTTTGAGCTTGGCAGCGGTTTGTGCATCACGACTGTGGTCCCAAGGACGATGAACACATTTGGTTGGCCACCTGCTGATGTGGCACAGAGCCAACATCAGTGGCGTTTGTGTTGAGTTTCTTTGCCCCTCCCTTTCCCATTTAGCTCTCCCCTCCAACAACGATCTCACAATGCATGAATATTATTACACTTATTCGTATTATACTTGTTCTTTTTAGCTTTTGCAATTTCTTTTTTAGTATCTCGCTTTCTCATCCATCGTATATGTAATGTTACGGCACAGTTAGCCAAAGTGTGTTTCGCACCTTTAGCTGATGTGTAATGATGATGATCAAGCGCTTTAGCCTCTTCGCGCTGACCTTCATCTTGTTTTTTTCTTATCGCAGTTGGCATGCGTTCTCCACTCCAAATCTTTCGTACTTTTGCGTCACTTTGTTGACCTTTCGAAATGCTGGTTGTGGATGATCACAACAAACTGCGCTTCATTCCTACCTTGGGTCGCTACTGTTTTTTTGTGTACATTGTTTACCGCATCTGAACTCATCTGCATAGTTGCCCCAGTGCAAGGTACTCTTTTATGCATATGATCCACTGAACTTTTGGCAATCACGCTGTTGTCGCTGGTCTGCTGAAACATGCCACCAGCGGGTGGTGCTTACTCTTCTAACGTGAAGTGAAGGTTTCACAATATGGTTGCCACCAAATCAGGCGAGCAATCACGTGACGTAAGTCATCGCCTTTGTGAGTTCGGTAAGCAGGCGAGAACAGTCAAACAATACGATGCGGGAAGATGAAAAATTAATGCATTTTGTAATTCACTTCGTGTAATACTTTTCAACTGGCGAACATTTACCAGGGAATGTCCACCAACATTGAAATAAGAAACTGTATGCATTATGCTGTGTCTTCTACCATACGTTGTCCGCTTCGTGCCACGAGACAGTATAGCTTTTGAATGCGGAAACACGCATTTACAACGTTAATGAAACCGCAACCTGAGAATAACAATTTTTACCGTCAGAACTAGTTCCCAATGCCTCACTGGGCTCTACCACCATACACTCCTCTAAGTTCGTATTGGATGCATATCGCCAATGTACTTGACAGTTGCTCGAATAATTATGGTTATATCCTTCACGGTCAGTAGTCATTTGTGTGAACTCACCTATTAAGGATATACGGTTACGTTAGTGTGCGCAGTAACCGTTGGTATGACCCAAGTCCATATAGGATTCACAACGGTCTCTCGTTCTCCCTAAAACTGTCCCCGAATTTCTGGGGATGTGTCAGCGACAGATGACATGCAACTAGATGCACCAATATCTTCAGCATATTTGTATCCAACAAGTAGAGTTGAGTTGTGATATTTTTCATCAAATGACGAAAATCCGAAAGATTCTCTGTAGCATGCTGGTCGGAGAGAATCGGGGACGAGCTGTAACCTCCCACTACTGGCTTACTCACTCAGCATTTCTCTCTCTGTATTCTGAAGACAGGAACTTATCAGTTAGCCCCATCTGCGAACAAAACGAACCTACAATGACAAACACAGATCATATCGGACCTCTGGCGCACTCATCTCCTTCCTGGTCTACTAACCGTTGAACAACTGCATCATGATACCCAAATCCAGGGGACTAAATCAGCCGCAGCCTGCATCTTAAAACCGTTGTAACAAATGATTACCGCAAATACCTGAATCAATCCATAACTACCCAACTTGCGATCCTGATTGTCAAGCGTCCAATCACTCACTTATGGCTTATCAGTAATGACAGGCTCCTTAACCGACGATGCGACTATGACTTCCCCGGGGCACCAACTGGGTGGTTCGGGGCTATCTCCCAGCGAATGTTTGGCGGCAGTGCTCCTGGACGTAGTGGATTTTCGCTTGATAAGCGCTTTCCCTTTAAAAAATACCACTGATGTCTGTTTAACAGCACTGCAACGAGGCGGATGTGACTCACCTCCAACTAAAGTCACGGCCCTATGCTTGCCTTGCCAAACACGCTCCCACCACGGACGTAACTCATCCCATCTCTCACACTATCCACGCGATCAGTCACAAATGCGGTGGCACATATTCAAACCCGAATAACGACTGCATACATGCACTCCCACATACATATATAAACTCACATCCCCGACTTTTTGTTGTGCCTATACAGGCATGTCTCTCATTATTCGAGAATAACGAATTTATTTATTTATTTCCGGACTGTCCCGGTTTCCGTGACATGCATCCTTTCGTCACTGTGTTTTACTGGAGACTCACTCCCCATGTAGTATGTAGGAGGACTTGACTGGCGTCAGCATTCTAGTAACCTTGACGATCACCAAACACACCTCACTGTTGGTTTAGGGTTTCGATCGACCACACAAACCTTTCTTCATGATCTCATAACGAGCAAGCCCATCAGTTATAGTAGATTCAGTCAGCTCCCAAGTACTATGCAATACCAATCCTCATTTGGGATCATAACGCTATAGAGTTGATAGAGCTTTACTCGGTCTTTGACGGTCTTGAACTTACATGCTAACTTGTGGGGCCGCAGTACACTTGATGAGATTTCTTTTCAAAGTGAATGGCCCATTTGCTTATCATCTCAACCTTTGTGATGTCTCCAGTGGTCTCTTTGTTGTCTTTGTTTTCATGAAACATGTGGTTCTTCACTCTCCTCACTACTGTGTTTACAGGTAGTTTACAAGATGTGTGCATCACCCATCTATCAATCAGTCTGCCTGTTTAAAGTGTGTTTGGTGCTGAGTTATCTGTTCGGTAATGGCTGATTATGACGCGGGGCAATGAAATCAGCAGGGAAGCTCTCTCACCGATCTCGCCTTAGCTTTACACGATAGCCAACTGTTTGTGATGGCATATTTTTGAAAACATGTAGGCGTCTTGACTCTGAATGTTTTATCAGGTACTAAGGTGTTATACTAGGTCTCTCTCCTCTCCCTCTTATTATTGTTCCTTCCGTGGGTCACCGCGGTTGTACGGCTGTGAAGCGGCAGTTCCAATGGCTGATGTTCTGTTGTTAATGATGATGATGCTGATGTCTCTAGTGGTGTTTGCCAGTTGAGACTCTAGCTAGACTACATTGGCATATGTAGCTAATGTTCACACCCGCTTTTATTTGGTCTTCGAGTTTTTCCAGTGCACACCATCTGCACTGTTGAGTTGCGTAACGTGTCTTGCGGCACTCTGGTCGCGTTGCCGCCTCTTAGCCTTTGAGGATAGAGATCGCTCTTCTCAATCGTTTTCCTAATTAATTTCTCTCACCTACAAGCAGTGCGTTTCGCACTATGCTTTCTACTGATTCTGTTAGAGTATCTTTCTGCCATACTCCACCTCACTCATCATTGTGTGATTTTTCGTAGAGTTTGTTCTTACATTTGTTTTCACGCTGTTCTATGCATGCCATCTAGCTCACACGAATCCGCTATTCAGGAGCTCCGAACTAACCACGCCGTTGCCATTGAAGGCCTTAATGAACAATTGGAGCAAGCGAAGAAAGCGAGGGCCTCACTAGAGCGCTCTAAAGCACAGCAGGATTCTACGCTAGAGGAGTTTCAGAAGCAAATTCAGAGTTTACAAATGGGAAAGTGAGTTCTTGCATGATTTCATTCGCTTTATATTTTTCCTTGTTTATTTTTACCTGCTTAAATGTATTGCGAATAATTTTGCACTTCATTACACACTCGCATTGTTTACGGTAATTCTACCATCCTCAGAAACGAATTAGAAAAGCGTCGTCGACAAGGCGATCAGCAGCTCAATGAATCCCATGTAAAAATCCAGGAATTGGAGCTGCAACGAAGTGAGCTTGACAGTCGATTGACAAAAGCTCTTGCCGATGTGGAAGCATCGAACTCCTCTCTCGAGGACCTGGAATCCAAATTAACCCGAGTGACTCGTTCAGAAGCTGCTCTTACTGCAGAGCTCAACGAGGTTCGCCTCCGACTAGATGAAGAAACACGTATCAAGCTTGCACTTCAATCGCAAATACGTCAGGTGGAGGATGAGCGAGAAAGTGCTAAAGATGCGTTGGATGCGGAAGAACAAGTGAAAATGGCACTAGAGAAACACGTGTTGGCACTCACGCAACAGGTGGGTCTATTGCGCCTCGCGGTACTGCGCTGTGAACACATATGTTTTGGCTAACGAGTACCATTGATCGATCCGCTATTTCTCCATCCAGTACTAGACCAGCTCCATGTATCTTCGGACTATGTGCCATATTGTTTGTGATCGATAATTACGCATCTGCACAACTGGTTGTATTTTCGCCAACATGCCACCTATTCACACTTGGATAACTATTTGAATGCGCGCTCGGTGATAAACCCCAGGTCTAGATCAACCTGTCAGTCTACAGCCCAGTGCATTTTGGTCTGCTGAAAGGTGGTTTTTTACGGAGTTATTTGCCATTTATCCCTCTTTCGTAGACAGGCTGTGTTGCCTTTTTTATACGGAGATCCGCCGTCTCTTCTCGCTCTTTTCACTTTTCCTGCTTGCAGCCGGAACGCCATGCTCGGTCACTCAAGACCCTAATCCTTAGTCAGTTTGTGCTCATCTGTTCGGTTAGCTGTTATTTGCGGAGGACTAGTTAAATTGCCCATATGCCATCAATTCTTCTCCTTCTGAACACCACACTTCATATCTGTGTGCCTCGGATCATTGGTTCCGAAAATATTACTAACCCAAAGCATGATGATTTATCTTTTGGTTGCTCGATTTTTGTCTCACAGATGCAGGACGCGAAGAAAAAGGTTGAAGAAGATGTTCACCAAATTGAACAACTAGAAGATGGCCGGAAAAAGCTGCTCCGCGACCTTGATGCCGCGACAAACCGCAATGAAGAACTGGTTGCCCAAGTTGAGAAACTGGAAAAGTCACGAAAAAAGCTACAAAGCGAAGTGAGTACTTGAGTTGTACACGCAAGTACAGTTGATCGTTTTCTTATAGGGAGGAAGTTGGACAGTGTGAGTTGCGACACAAGACTATTTCCGCTTGGACATCATCATGATCATGAACAGTGCACTACATCAGCCTTTTGAACTGATGCTTCGCTGCCGCATAACTACATTCACCTACAGCTCGACAAGTAATAAGAGGGCAAGAAGTAGGTCCAGCCTAAATGCCGTATGCAAATATTCAGGATCAGGAGGGCACTTACACCTTGTCACCCACATACGGTCACAAACAGCTGGCCATCGTGTAGAGATAAGGCAGCATCGGTGAGACCGTTATTTTGCAGCTTTCAATGCCCCGCGTCATAATCAGATGTTACCCCGCGATTTTAAGTTAGCACCTAAGGTAGGTACATTAAAGAGACAGTACGACTAAAAAACAATTGCAGGTGCCCCACTGTTACCGACTGCAAACCACGTCCCGTGACGTCTCGAACCAAATATGCGGACTCGCCAGAAAGGTGGAACAGACCAACAGCACCAAGTTCTTTTCGGGACTCGTCCATCAGTACGCATTCCATTTGACCCCTGTGGGGCTCGAACCCACAACTCGACCGTTACTAGTCTGGGGTTAAGATCACTGAGCTACGGGGAACGGCAACGACCATCGTGAATAAGTTACTAGATGTGATATAGCGCCGCTCACTATCTACTGACTTGCACGTTATTGCCGTTAAGAGGACAGAGTACTCCCCTCACCGATTGCGTCTAAATGTATTGTATTCAAATCACCCTACTAGTTTTTTGTGAGCACGCAGTTTGCTAGTCAGTTGCTTTAGTTATCGGTGCTAAGTTAACTTTCGTCCACCTCAAGCCTTGCGCCACTCTCCATCTGGAAAACAAGAGACACCTCGGTTACCGGTGATCGGGTTCACCTAATACTTACCCAATCCATCGCGACTTATTCAATGCCATTCGTTGTTCACCTGAACTAACCTGATTACCAATACCTACTACTCACATACGTCGTGCATGCGGATATGTGTCACCAGTGTTGCTCCGTAATCAGCGATGATCAAAGACTTGAAAGCACTTCACCTCCTCCCACCGAAGGGACCAAGTCTCACTCTCATAGAGTGAGGGTAGCCCTCCCTGTGATCTTGTGCACAAGACTTTTCAGACCGATCGAAATCCCTTCTGATGCCAAATATGTCGCAGGTTCATGAAGGCTGTTCTAGCTTTTATGCCCATTGTTGCCGATGCAGCTGTCGAAGTAGATGAATTGATCAACTACTTTGTGTTTCTGTCCAATTTTGCAAGTTGCCGTTTATCGTGTCCCTGGCACATGTTGCATCCCAACTCTAGTGCGTTTCACCGAGAGTTGTACATCCAACCTGGGTGTAATTTAGCCGTACTTGTTTCGTTCGGTAATGCATAGCATCACTCCATTGTTGTACGAGTATTGATCTCGGATATCCGGGTAGTCTATCTCGTCGGAGTCCACGCCCGTGTGCACATTGGTGTCGTTGCTGATTTGAGGTGCACCGCTGATTCCGTTGCGTGAAGCCAGTTCTGCGTCCCTGAAACTGGTTTGTTAATACGTTATGTCTGTCATTGCTTTCACTTTCGTGGGACCCTATCTACGTATTAACAGTTGTGACGTTGAGAGTGCTACAGCTTTTTGATTGTTAAGGGTGTTGTGTCAAATGATATGTGCTCTTTAGGCCGGTGGCCGAGTGGTCTGCACACCTGGTTTGTAACCATAAGGTCACCGGTTCGAATCCGTGTAGGGGTGGGCGTCCTCGCAGTATACTCAACCCACGCGCGACTGGTGGTGATCGCGTGGCTGCGAAGCCCCGTTACGACGTACAACTGGCGATTTATTTTTAAGGCTTCATTTCCGTTTACAACTTGTTTGTTCATGGTCAATGAGTTTTGTCTCCCTCCTCATTTTGACACTTTCAAACTTTGAGACGTTTGACAGTGTTATACCATGATTAGCCTAATACTATGATTTATTCTGCAAGCTCATTCTTTTAGCAATTATCTTATTAGTTTCCGTGATTGAGCGAACTCCGGTAGTCTCAGATTCCTTATTGTTTTTCATCTGAACCATCGATGACTTAACATAAGAAACATACAAACTTTATACGAAACATTTGATCTATCTGGCGCATGTCACTTTCTTCGATGATTGGATAGGCTATATCGGTGATTGCAAATTCTATCAGGCACGACACTGGGGTACTCTTGCATTAAATTTCTTAAATCTAGTTATTCAATTTGCATACCTTTTCTATCCTACTTTTTTTCTCTACAATCTACCTCGTTTTTATGGTTGTAAGCTCTTCTCGATCGACGTATAACATAAGTACACTTAGTTACTCTCTAGTGATGAGTCCATAGTTGCCCACTGGGTTGCTATTAATTGCCTTCTAACCAACAAGGTTGAACCCTAAAACCATCACTTTCAATTACTCTTGGTCTATCTCACAGTTTGCATTGGAACGCGAACTTTTTGCCAGGAGGACGATACCCTGAACTTTGGCGTTCGATGAACTAACCAAATCTCTATCCAGCAAAACTCAAAATATTCACGCGTTTATTGTCTACTACTCTCAGCCGTTGCCCCAAATGAATTCCTTTTCTCATTTGGTGTTGCGTACCACATGATAAAAGGGACTACCAAGAAAACGGCACTTTTAGCTTGTGTATAACTTCATGCTACGTCGTGCCAAATGAAAAAGGCATCATGAGGACGCCAGTACGCAGTACCGACGTTTCGCTGCCGCGCAATCACCACTAGTTGCACATGGTCCAAGTACACTGCGAGGGTCTCCCGGTCCCTACGCAGGCTGGGACCCGCGTCCTCGGATTACAAAGCAAACTTGTTATCCTTACGACTACGGCCCAGATGAACTAGTGTAGAATTACTTTGTTGTCTTAACTGTCTCTGTATGCTCGCCACATGTAGCTAAAAAGCTTTCATTTCCTATTTTATCCTTCTCATAACTCAGCTTGAAGATGTTAATCACGCTATGGCAACCCAGCGGTCAGATCAGGCTAGCAGCGAGCGCAAAGTAAAGAAATTGGAGAGCGCTCATAATGAAGCTTTGAATCAGGTGAATCAGCTTCAGGCGGAGAAACAGTCGTTTGATCGGGAAATGCGCGACCGCGATACTCGACTCCTCATGTATCGCAATGAAATTGATGACTTAAAGGAACGCCTGGAGGAATCTGAGCGCCAGCGAAATTTGCTGACCCGCGAGCTTGAAGATTTAGGCTCTAATCGAGACGGTGCCGGAAAGACCATGATGGAATTAGAACAAGTCAACTATCAGTTGGACCAACAGCTTCGCGAGGCACGTCAACAGTTGGAGGAACTTGAAGATGAAGTTTCAACTGTGACTATGGAGAAACAACGGGTTGAGGTTCGTGTTCTGTGTACCCTGCATTTCGATAAATCGAATGTCATTTACCGCGTTATCCTTTATCCGCTTTTTTATCACTGGCTCTTTCTTGGTAGACTTCTTAACTTGACCGTCGATATTATCATTCCCTTTTTGGTCGTTTTTCCCGCATCTTTGGTATAGGTTCAGATGAATGCCGTCAAGACGCAGCTGGAACGCGAGGCGGCCTCCCGTGATGAAGCACTTGAAGAACAGCGTCGCCAGGCCCTAAAGCAATTGCGGGAACTAGAAGCGGAGCTGGACGACGAAAAGAAGCAGCGTGCCAATCATTTGGCTGTGCGCAAAAAGTTGGAAGGTGATTTGGCCGACTCTATCCAGCGACTCGAGCTAGTCACTCGCCAAAAGGATGAAGCGGTGAAGCAGTTGAAGAAATTCCAAAGTGTTGGTGGTGGAATGCAACGCGAGCTGGAGGACGCTGTGCGCTCCCGCGATCAAGCACTAGAGCAATTTAGAGAATTGGAGAAAAAGTGGCGTACGGTGGATGCCGAGAAAAACCACTTGCAAGAAGATTTACAAGCATCCGAGCGAACCTGCCGTACGTTGCGTGCTGAACTGGATGAAGCTCTCGAGGAACTATCCGCAGCGACTTCGGCCAGGTACTTCACATGTGCGCTTAGGCCATCTATCGTTCACATTTTCCACATAAGTCTTTATCGATATACCTGCTTGACCGTGCCCTAGTAATTATCGATTTTCCGGTCTATCTTGTTTGAATCTGCGAAAGTGCGAGTTGCCTCGCGCGATTGACACTGGTCCCGTAGCAACATAGCGTCGATGCAGCATACCGGCTTATTATTTTGTTCATTGCGCGTTTGTGTTTATCCTGTCCTCTCTCAAAAATTGTTTACCCCATCCTCGATCTTCATTTGGTGAAGTCAATCGTTATCTTTGAACGTCTCCGATAGCGTAGTCCACCGCCAGTTTGTTTTCGCAATGCCCGGTGCGTGCTTCGTTCTTTTCTGTTCATAGTACCCCATAGCATGCCATACCACTACCATTTTACCTCAGCCTACGTCATGCAGAAATCCGTGCGCCAGTCGTGAGTTTGACTGTGTTTTTCATTTTCCTGTCACAAACGTCTCATGCTGTTCCCCGTTTTCGCAGAAATTCTGCAATGGAGGATAAGAAACGTCTAGAGGCTCGTCTTGTGGGCTTCGAGGATCAGTTAGAAGAGGCGCAAAATGGCATGGATGCAGCCGAAGAACGTTACAAGAGATCGTTAGCTCAAGTAGACCAGATCCAGTCGGAACTAAACAGTGAACGGAGCCACGCAATGCTTCTAGAGTCCCAACGGCAAACCCTGGATAAACAGGTTTGTTTCGGGAGATTTTCGTGCGTTTCACCCCATGCTATCACGGATTGTGTTTACTACACACTGCTGTTCTAGTTGCCACTGTGCGCGTACAATAGATACGCGGTCAGAGATGACTGAGTCACACTTTGGGTTAGGCACTGCAACATTCCCGTTAGTCTCATAAGTCCTTCCGCCCCCATTTGTTCCCTAACCACTAACATGCACCGGTCGTTTTAAGATGTGAAGGAAGTCGACCACTTCTTACAAAGTCATATGTATACCAGCGGACTACTTCTCTCGTATCTTCATTATCGGCCTTCGAAGAGATATATTCTAAACTACTGAGTGAAATGGGTCTGTTAACGCAATGTAAGCACCCCTCAGTGCCCACAATATCTCCAAAGCTCATTGACTCCATCCATGTTAAAATTAAGCAAAACATGTGAGACATTGTCAACAACACAGACAAAAGCAAACGCGCAACTGCATGTTGCCCAAGCTACGGCATGGTGCTGTATACACTATATATATATATATATATATATATATATATATATATATATATATATATATATATATATATATATGAAGCGGCAACTGGCATCTATCAGGATCGTTCCATTTTCCCGCTTTTGTTATACATCGTCGTGGACACCATCGAGGAGTGTTCCCTTGCAGAATTTCACGATGCTGACGTTGTGATGTTGCCTGATGAAAAATCGGTTGTCCTTCATTTTGCATAAAATATCATCTTGCTGTTTACCGATGGCGAGGTGGCACCGTCAACCATGCGTAACTTTTCCTTATTAGTCCCATAATTTGTTACTGAATCACCAGCCACTTGATGGCCCCTTGACTCGTGATAACGACGGACTCCAAGTAGTTGACCACTACTTCGCTTACACCATGGCGGCTGCATCAGCAACGTCTGGCGTACAAGCACTGAAGTCAGTTCACGTATCGTAAAAACCAGAACTGGCTTCTTGACTCTGCGACATCTGTGGTGGTTTCTCTCCATCTCAAACGTTATGTTTACAAGGTCACAGTATGGGCAGTCCTCATCGTCATCAACAACAGTACATCATCCATTCGAGCTGATGCTTCGCTACCATGCAACTATAACGATCTACAGAAAGAAGAATAATAAGAGGGAGAGAAGGGGAACTTAAAGGAAAACCTTAATGCCCTAGGCAAAACTTCAGGGTCAAGGGGCCTACATCTTGTTAACAACATGCTATCACAAACAGCTGGCTATGGAGCAAAGACAAGGCGGCATCGGCGAGACAGCCTCCTTGCGGCTTTCACTGCCCCGCCTCTTAATCGGCCATTACCCCGCACATAACTCCGCACCAAACACACTTTAAACAGGCAATCCGAGTAGAAGACGGCAGCAGACGTACCACTGGTGTCGGTTACGAGCCATGTAAAGTCTCGAGCCAAGCACAAGGCGTGTCACGTCGATTCCAGTTTGGAAGGCGGAACGGACCGACAGCATCAAGTTTGGCCTTCAGTGACTTCATTTCCCGCTACGAAGTCAACTTTTGTCCACCTCGAGCCTTGCGCCACCTGCATCTGGCAGACAAAACAAGGCCCTCCTGGGTAAACGGTGACCGGGCATACGTAGTACCTGCCCAAGCCAACGCAACTTATTCAATGCTATCTGCTGTTCTAAGGAGCTTGCCTGGGTATCATTGTCTAGTACACGTCTACTCACATTATCGTTGCGGACACGCTGCTGCCACCCTACACCAGCAATGCTCCGCAGTCAGCTGTGGACAAGGCTTGATGACGCCTATGATCTTCAGATCGAAGGGGCCAAGTTTCACTACCATAGAGCAAGACGACCCTCACTGTGGCCTTGTATACACGACATTTCAAACGGAGGGATGGGCATTCCCGCTCTATGACAGTGAGACTTGGCCTCTTCGGTTGGAGGATCTGTAGCGTCTTCAAATCTATAACCACCGCTGTCTTCAGAGCATTGCTGACCTTGGATGGCGGTAGGATGTCCACAACGACGATGTACGTAAACGGGTGCTTGGCAGTGATAATCATTCTAGTTCCTTAGAACAACAAACAAACCACTGATTAACTCGTATCGGCTTGATCACGTAATACCACGCCCGGTCACCGCTTACTGAGGATAATCTTCTTCCGATGGCCAGATTTGGGGTGGGGCGAGGTGGATACAGGTGAACCTAGCATCGGAAACCGAAGTCATTGACTGCACATTGTGGGCTGTTGGTCCGTCTCTCCTTCCAGATTGGAGTTCACGCGACCCACCTTGTATGTCAGAAGGCATAGCTCGCAGTCGGCACCAGTGGCACGTCTGGTGTCGCCTCCTAGTGGGGCTGTCCGTTTGTAGGGTACTCGATATTGTGTTACCTTTGGGTTGGAAAACACGTCAGCTACTGTGACGCAATACATAAAAGAAAAATACGTGCAACAGTTGAATGCCATTTGAGCTACCAGCAACGGATGGGCCTCGATATGGAAAGATATCAGCCGGCTACTAGGCAACGAAAAAGTATTATGTAAAGTTATATTGTGCAAAGAAATTAGATCGTGGTTAGATGGGGAGGGACAAAGAAACTCACTGCACGAACGCCATTGAAGTTGGCTCCTAACCATGAAAGCAAGTGTATTCAACCAAAGACGTTCATGATCTTTCGGATCCCAATCAGGCATCCGAGAAGCTCCAACCGAGGCCAACTTCGAAGTGAGGGCTTTCATTCCTCTTGACCAAGGCATCACTTGACCACCTCTTCTTCCATCCACACTCCGGCACGCAAACAACGCATGTCGCGGGAGCCGGTGGACTGATATGCGTAAAACGTAGCCGAGTGTTCGGGGTCTGGTGCGTGAAATAACGGTGCTGAGCGATTCATTTCCTTTTCCTGTGCCGTAAACAAGGCGTCGAACACTCACTCACTCGGTGTCCCCACCAGATATGAGCCAAACTATGAAGGCACCGGTGGTCTAACGTAACTAGCCTCTTTATGTCCGTTGATCAAAGGGGCCAGATTTCACAGCCGTACAGTAGGATCGAAGTTACGGCTGCATTGCACACTACCCCTCAGGGCGAGAGTGATGTTGCGCTGGTGCCATAGGTGATGAAGTTTAGCGAAAGCGCCTCGAGCTTTTGCTATACGATTCATGATTTCATCTTCAATTCCGATGGTGCTGATGCAACTTCCCAGGTAGTTAAACTTTTGAACAACTTTTAGCTGATCCCCACCAAGGGTCAGCGGAGACGTTCCATACCAATCTTGAAGGAACGCTTTGCACTTCGGGGGTGCAACGCAAAACCCGGAGTGACGGACAGGCTGTGTTAATCTGTCCAGTGCCGCTTGGCACGTTTGTGAACTGTCACAAATGAGTGCAATGTGGTCGCCACACTTCAAGCCAAAAAGTCGTTCACCTGGGAGCTGCTCCACACCTAAATCGTGTCTCCTGTGAGCGCAATCTCCATGACTTCGTCAATAGCGAAGTTGAAGAGGGAAAGTGACTGCGGACATCCTTGTCTCACACCGCTGGAGATATTGAAGGGCGGTGACAGCTTGTCGTAATCCTTCACACTGCCCGAGGTACGCGCTTATAGTGCGCGCATAATACTTACATATGTCTCGTGCACAGCTTTCCTGACTAGACAGTCCTAAAGAGCACATCGATCAACCGAATTGAGGCGCCTTTGATGTCGAGGAACACGACAACGGTGGGCCGTTAATATGTCTGACGGTGCTCCAACAGCTGACGCAAAGTGAAGATGTGGTCGATGCAGTCCCGACCCCGACGAAACCCGGATCGCTCCTCACGAATCTGGCTTTCACGAGTGCCAGTCAGTCTGTGAAGGATCACAGAGGCAGGTAATTTGGAGGCGATCGGGATTTGACTGATTCCTCTATGTTTGCCGCATTCCAAACGCTAGACTCCCTTGAAAATTGGGACTATGGCGGAGCGGCTCCAGTCGGTTGGGACGATTTCCTGCTCCCACAGTTTCATCAGTAATTCGTCTAAATCATCAACAAGCGTAGGGCTCTCGAATTTGAAGAGGGGTGGGTTTAAAATCATCTGGCCCGTGGATTTATTCAACTTCAACAGTGCGATTTCATATTCGATTTCTGAACGAGGGGGCGGATCCAAAGGGACAGTCCACGGAGCGGGGCGATCACTGGTCGGTGGGGAGTAACAATTCCGCCTGATTAAATTGCTTTTCAAAGTATTCAGCCCAACGATCCAAACGTTTTGACAAGGTATGGATAGTCTCCCCACGCTCGTCACGTATACTCACTAACACCAGGTCTGCTGTCCGTTTCCCGCATCAGACGGAATAACTTCTGGTGGTTACCAAGGGCAGCAGCCACTTTTATCTCTGACGCACGATGATATCACCAGGATTCGCGGTCTCTCTTCAGGCTAGCATGGAGTTTTGCCCGGAGCTCTTTGCGGATCTCATTGTGTTCGCTTCCAGCCGAAATTTGACAACTTGCATCGATAAGTTCCAGAGACTGCGAAGAGACCCAATGTCCATGTTGGCTATCTGAGTTTCCACATGAGAATTTACCTGCTGCTAGTAAGCTTTGGTGAGCATGCGACCAGTGACCAATTGTCTCCAGTGAGCGCTTACTCAATCCTCATGTCAGCCTACGCATTTAGGACAGTTGGCTTGGCCAGTTGGCTGGTGTCAATGCGCTCACAGCGTCGTCGTGGGCCTCCGCCAAAATGCATCCGCATGTCAGCACATACAAATGCATGGTCGGTGTCCACACATGTGCTCCAAATCGAGCGAAAGTTTTGGACACAGCCTCCAGTGATAACTGATCGCGATATGATCGATTTGCGTCCATTGCTGCTTCGAGGGGGCGCCAAGTCGCCCTCCGGTGGATGTTGTGTCGGAAATTAGTGCTCGCAAGAAATAAAGAGGCATCTTCACCCAAATGAACTAACCGCTTGCCGTTATTCTTACGGTAGCCTACACCCTGTTGACCGCCCAGATGCAGTTCATAAGTGGATAATTCTCCAATTTGAGCCTTCAGATCCCCCAGCCAGCACAACAGTGTCCGAGTTTCTTCTGTGGCGTGGGAGGTCGTTCAGTTGGCGGTAGATGTCGTCTTTTACCGAAACATCGCCAAGAATCGGGGGTTGAAAACTGGGGGGATAAATGTGAACTTGGAACGGGACGAATAGTACACAAAAGCGTAAGAGGGGGAATAAGAAGACGAGAAGGGTTGCACAGTAGCACCCAAACCCCTATTCACGCAGTTTGATGCAGCAGATATGGCGCCGTTGATTATCCTCCGCGACGGCCAGGACATCAGGAAATAGTTTGAAGAGAAATTCATTGTATTGTGTGGGCAGCATACTCAGGTTGCCGAGGCCTAGACAGGAGAATTATTAGGGTTCTCAATCAAAACCTTTGGTTCAAAAACCTGTCTGCAAGGCAGCGTGTTTGGCATTGCGCTACAAGGAGTCCGTTTTAAGGAATAAGGAGCCACCCTCATTCCAACCCCCCGACCTAGAGGACCAGAAGGCTGTTTGTCTGGCCTCTAACCATTGACCAATCTGGTATGAGTGACTCTGAAGGTGTAATAAAGCACCACCCAGTATAGCTCAATGAATCTTTGAGGCACACAAACCACCACACCACGGTAAGGTCCAGCCTTATTGCGATGGTACCTATGAGGTTATGTATGATTATGACGCAGGGCAGTTAAAACCGCAATGCCAGTGCCTCCTTATCTCTGCACGATAGCCATTTGTTAGGGACGGTATGTTGTTGACAAGGTGTAAGTGCCTTGGATGTTTACATTAGGCATTTAGGTTTTACGCTGGACCCCCTCGCGTTATCATTCTTCGTCCTGTAAGACATTGCGGTTGTACGGCAGCGATGCATCAGTTTAAATGACTTATACACTCCTGTTCATGATTAGGTTAATGGGGATATCTCGTACACTTTACGAAGTTTCTCCAGTCCTGCTTTTGGTCAAGGCATTTGGGGCTATTTTCTTTAATCTGCAGTAACGTACATGCAGCGGTTCACATTATGGGTTTGCATCCGAATAGCTGTCGCATGCGTCGCACAGTAACTATTTTGGGAAGTGCATATCGAGTTCTTTCCTGGCCACCACCACTAGTTGTTGCGACGGCTTGTGTAAGCATCGCTCACCCGCTTTTTTTGCGACAGAGTTAATATTTATCGTCACGGTGAAAAATGTCACTATAATAGCACTGTGCATTTTGTCTGTACCCGTTCTATCCATGTTGAGGCCCTAGTGCCTGTGATGAATTGGGCACTACTACCAAAAGTTAACGTAATTTAAACCTTAAACCTATCGGCGTATATTATGTTACTTGGTTTCCCCTCTCCCCGGATTTCTCTGAACCAGGTGAAAGAGCTACGTGAACGGTTAGTCGAAGCCGAGAAGGAAGGTGGTCGTCGGAGCAAGGCACAGCTGGCCACTTTGGAAGCCCGCTTGATGGCGTTTGACGAGCAGTTAGAGAGTGAAAAAACAGAGAAGATGAATGCGACCAAGAATTGCAGGCGTTTGGAGAAACGCCTAAAGGAGTTGGCCATACAGGTAAGTTGTTTTCCTAATTTTGTTCTCCCAGTGTCACTTGGCAGTTCTGTTTACACATCTGCCGCTGTCACTCATCCTAGTGCCAAATACCTCCTATCCATGCTTTTTTCATCCATAGTCTTCTTCGCGATAATTTGTAGTAAGCGCTATCCTTCCTCGTGATACCTATGTGACGATCCATCTTTATTAACCTGCACAGTCGTGTGCGGATTCAATTAGAGTAGAAAGCTCTCGATCCCGCTTCACTTCAGGCATCTCCGGCGATAACTAACCAAATCACAAAGTTGTGAGGCCACTTTGTAGCAGCACCATCAGTGCGCATTTTCACGAGGGTATATTTTGTACATACTTTGTAAAGTCATTTAAATGTCTGTCTGAATACGCTTCTTTTTACTTACACAAGTCGCTTAAGCAGATTGTGGTTTAATTTCGGTAACACTTTATCGTTTATGGCATTTTTTGAAACTATCTTTTTCTGATATCTTGAACTACTCGTGGATTGTTGATAACCAACTTCTTGCATATGCTCATTTAGCGAAGAGTTAAGTTTGCATAACCGATTTATTTTATTTCATCTTGTCATTTCAAGTGATTGGCTGTTGTTTGACATCCCCGGTGTGGTTGCGCTTGATGTACATGTTGACAAGGTGCCTACATATCTAACACCCTCCAGGAGACTGTGAGTCCTTGCTGGAAGGCGGCAGGTGCAGGTTCCTCGTGGTCATGCCGAGCTCGAAGGGTGTTTCCATCTAGTGTGGAGCGGAGTACGGCCCAGCCACCGCCTTGTGTGCGCTTGATTCTCCAAATACAGCATGCTTGTGTTTAAACAAAACAGTAAGAAGATGAGCACTGCAAGATGGCACCATTTCGTGTTATCTGATCACTTGCAAACTAACAACATATATAGATCACGTAAGGGAAGGAAACGACCGTTTTGAATTGGTCAGAAAAAATGCACACAAACAAAAAACGATAGCTGGTAGCGCTGGGGCAAAGGTCATGAACCCCAAGGAAGCTTAAGGGTTACTGTCAGTAGCTTTTGCACACAAAGGGTGGGACGGTAACGATTTAGGGCCACAGCCTCGGCAAACTTCAGCACCCTGACGTTTTCGTTTCGGTAAATAACCGTAAAAGTTGACCCAGGGTCAACTTGATGACCTGTACTGACTAGGTGTCTAGCGATGGATGATGCCGGCAGTTTGCCTGCTGCTCCTTGTCCGGTTGCTTGTTGTGCCATCAACCCAGCAATTCGCTTCGGAATGTGCTCTCCAATCTTTTTACTCAGACAACGATCTGTTCTCCCAATGTAATTGCTTCTGCAGGTACAAAAGAATTGTTAAATGCAATGAGTTGTGGCGGAGACCGGTTGAGTAGTTTTGATTGGGGACATCGGCAGCTTTAGATTGTCCAGACAGCACCGAGTTTTGCAGCGTTGAATGTACGGCGGATAGCTGTGTTCACCCTTCCTTTAATTTGCGCCGTCACCACATTACGTTTGAAGGTTAACTGTAAATAGACGGGCATTTTGGGCACAGTAAGTATTCTTGGTTCGTTTTCCTTCTAGTGACTGTGAAATCTGATGAATGCCTCTGGATATCCATTGGCCCGTTATGTCTGTGTGATGAACCATAATTCCGACTTCACACAGTCATCATTGCATATTCTACGGGCACGATCGAACAACGTTTTGACAAGACAACGTTTGTATTGGACCAGCGCAAAGCTATTAAAATTCTCATATAGGCCTGTCCATGTAGCCTTCTTGTAAACAGAGCGTTTTATTGAGCCATCGTCTCGTCTTGTCAACAGTACATCCTGAAGAGCAAGACAATTGTTATATTCTAGCTCACAGGTGAAGCTGGCGTTGGGATGTACATTGCTGAGGACACTGCGAACAGACTGGACAGTCTCTACACTTGGGACAATGACCAAGGGGTCATCCATATATCGCCTGTATAGGCACATCTGGTTTAGGTAGGATTCACACCTCGATTCGACCATTGCCATTGTGTTTGCCTGTGAAGGAATGTGGGCCGGCTCCGTTGATGAAACGTGGCTCCCATCCACATGCCTTCCAGTCTTATTCCTTCGGGTTTACACTAGATATGGGGTGTGTGAATGGAGCTGTGGGTGGTGCAGCGTAAGTCACCCATGGTCCTTCTGTAGGCACAGGCGTCCTATGGAGGTCACAGTGATAAGCACATTCGGAACCGGATGCTGCCAACCATCATAGGCTCACTTTCACAGCGGATCATCTTCATCTGCGCGGCAAATGCACATCATTACACTGGTACTTCTCTATCATACTGGTAAGAAATGGCACGCCTTTCTGGTAAGAAGTGTATGAGAATTTACTAGGAAACGTAGCGTGAGATCATGATCAGAACACCCACCTCTTTACAACCATCGTACGGTCATGGGCAGCTACCCATCGTCCTTGGTGCTTTCATATCCACTTTCATTGCCCAAAACTCTGCATCTAATTTGACACTATACACACTATAAATGAGTAGCCCATCTGATGGACAGCGATAAAGACGACATTGGTTTCAGTCGGGTGCCACTGTTTTCTACAACGTATTGCAGTGACTTCTCTCTGAACCACGGGATAGACTGGTATTGCCCGATTTTGGTAATTAGCAGGTTCGTTTCATCCAGCTTTGTCCCATCTGGGATTTCTAAGCTTCGCGAACTGAATCACCGCTGAACTGATATTAAAACTGTATCGGTACATTCACTTAGACAATTACCAAGCTTTTCACAAGTGTTTCTCAGGAAGCACTTCACTTTTTTCCGCAGCTTCTCATCCCATTCACTTGCAGTCCGGGTAAACTGTTTAGATCATTTTAGTGGCGAGCAACTAGCGATGTAGTCTATACGAATTCACTATATGCAGTTCTTAATTCAGATTGTGCGATTCCCTCAACTTGCTAAAAATGCGATGGATTCGGTGACCATATTATACTTTTTTTTTACCTAACTAATGCATTCCTTCAACCAGCACTCCGTTGTTATCACGTGCTCATCCTGTGTGTATTCAAGCTAACTTGAAGTGGTTTGCGCTCCTGTGTCTTGATCGTTTTTTTCCGCTCGTCTCCATTGAATTCAATCGATACTGTAATGTAAGGAAGGATACCGCTAATTGGCAGGCCTCTTGTTTCCAACTTTTATCCGATTGGAGTGCATGAGACGTGCCTGCTTATTGTGACTTCCTGCTAGTTGGCAGAGACCTCGTGAGGCTGTCAGATACCACCAGATGGTATTTGCCGGTTGTTCGGATTCGTAGCCTTATTTCTAGTCACTATTACCACATAATCGATCATAAACATAATCATTATTCATTATGGTTATATATATATATATATGTAATGTTTTGTATGTTGCCCTCTCATATTCCCTTTTCGTTGCGGAATAACAGCTGAAGTGTGTTTCTTACCTTCAGCTAACATGTAATCATGATGATGATGATGTTGTTGTTGATGATGATAATGATGTGAGTTTGCACACGCCTAAGTTCACTGATACGAGATCGACCTGCATCGGTTGTTATTTTGTCACCAATCTTAGTTTCCTAGTAGCTTGCGTCTATGATCATTTAGGCATTAAAACACTATGGCCCACTCTGTGACCACTTTAGGTCTATTCTTGAGTTGGCGTGTTTAGATTTGCTTGTTCTAGGTTATAGGTGTGTCATTCTAGGTCTTCAATTTTTAATCTACATCGCTTAGTTTACCACGTCGATAGTCTAGTGGACTTTGTTCGAATCCCGCTGGCCAATGCACTGCGCTTCTTTCCCGTTTCCTAACAGTCGGGCATCTGCTGACCCGCGAACAGCAGTCGGCAGTAGCTTGGTTTCGTACACTGCTAACGGTACGAAGATCGTAGTCCCCTTTTCTCTCTTGTTACCTGGAACCATGTTTTAAATCTTTTTCTTATCTTCTTTCCTTTTCAGAATGAAGAAGAAAAGCGGGCCGCAGAAGTTGCCAGGGAATCATACGATAAGGCACAGAATTCACTGAAACGTTTCAAGCGTGAGATTGAAACACTGGAGGAAGAGAACGCTCAGCTCAAGGTTCAACGCCGGCGACTGCAGCATGATTTGGACGAGGCAGCTGAAGCCAAGCGCATCATTGAGCGAGATCTACTCAATCTGCGAAAACTGCATCGGTATGTAGTTATCCTGCATAGAGGTCATTTTTTTTACTTAGCTGGTTGCATATTTCACCAACACCCTTTACGTCGCATCTGGCTCCTTCACAGCTTTCCGATTCGGTCATCTAAATTTCATTCGCTATCTTTTGTCTGTTTACCTCTCATCTGCTTTGCATTATTGGTATTTGGTGTCTTACGACAGGTTTATTTCTAATTGTCTGTGTTTACCTTCAAATTATCAACTAACCTGCTGTTTCTGTTGTTTTAAGAGATGCCCGACCTATTATCCCCATGTACAGGGATTCTCAGTGCGGTCGAGTGCTCATCCGTAGCATCTTTCTCCTAGATAGATCTTTAGGTCACATCCATTTGTCCGTGCTTTACAATGAAGGTGCTTGTTTCATCTCCATCTATTTTTCATCACGCATTGATTAACCGCATCATGCTCTCACGTGTTCTTTTCTTGTCTGTCCCTTCCAACTGTCTGTTTCTCCTGCTTCTCGCTGTTTTCGGTGTGTGGTCCCATTGCTGTTGTTGTGATTTCAACTCGTTGTTCCGCTGTCGCCTCGGTTTGCTCGATTTTATTTTACTTGCGCGCGCACACTGCAGCCCTTCTCGTATTTTCGATTTTACCACACACGATGTGCTCGCGGCTTCCCCAAACGGTTCCTGTTTGACCGATGAGGAACAACAACAGTCTCTGCCGAACTAATAACCGATTCATCCCCTCTTTCACCCTCTCCCAGATGACACCTAATGCACATCTCCGGTCAGAGAGTTGCATGAATAGTATATTTCTCGATGGCACGAGCTACAGTCCACCAAGTGGTCTAATCAGTTTGTACAGCGCAATCACATAAAACAGCCAATTGCTCACTTTGTTCTAGTCCGTTCCCAGATGCGTTTTAGTGTGGTTAACTGGTTAAATGTATTAGCAAAATGGAAAGGTGGACAGTGAGAATAAGTTTAAAACTTGTCAAACAGTCATTTGAGTTAATACATCCAACCTTGGAACCGTCTTCTAGGGACCTACTACTATGCGGGATGATTCTTCCAACAATATCATCCATGCCCCGTCTAGTCATGTGCCGGTGGCCGAGTGATCTGCACGTTTGGTTTGCAACCATAAGGTCACCGGTTTGAATCCGCGTAGGGTTGGGCGTCCTCGCGGTATACTCAGCCCGCGCGCGACAGGTGATGGTCGCGCGGCAGCGAAGCGCCGTTACGGCGTACAGCTGAGGCATTAGTCATGTGCCGTTGTGCATTAGAAGCAAGTAAACCAACATCGCCTTACCTCATCTTTGGATCGTTGTTATATGCCTATAGAATGAGTTCTCAACCCATCCAGTCCATTCCACAATTTAACTCGTTCTAGCCGGGTACTTGTATCACTCGCTAGTGAGCCTGTGATAATTCGCCATGCCTATGTGTACTAATTAGCCTAGAAACTTCACTTCGTCAATTCAGGTGATCAGCCCAGTCGTAGCCAATAAAAATAGAGGGAAAGAGGAGAGTGACAAAAATAACAGCTAAATGGCGCATTTTTCTTTATCAGGAAACAGTTCGACGATTCGTCTGATTCAGTATGTACACTGGGATTGGAGCAAACAAAGAATCACTCAAGGCATTTATGAACCAAGCACATCTCAGCAGAACTTTTTTACAAGTCCATCATTGGCATGCAATCGATATGCAGAGGAGTTGGTATTGAAACGAATTTTCCCTTCCTTCCCATCACTGCTGCTTTATTCCATCGAGTAGTCAGTGCTCGTTGGGGTTTTTCGCAGTCGATGTCTCCTCTGCTTTTAACTCGATCAATGATACACCATATACATGCGTATCCACAATCGGAATCATTACTCATTCAACGTCCCCTACGACGATTCTTCAGATCAGCTCATCTGTTGTTGTTGCTGCTGTTGCTTGCTTCTTGGTTTTACCTATTCGGCCTGGTCATTTTTGCCCGTGCAACCAGCAGTGTCCATCGCTCAGCCTTTGTTGCCCTCCTTGCTGTTACTATTCCCCGAATGGTATTTGCAACCCAGGTGCGCGCTGCCCCGGTGAATTCTCCGACTGTTGCCCATCCACAGCTGTTTCGATCCCCCTTCCGCTTCTTCTATTTGCTCCGGCAAAATTATCCATAGAAATTTGTCTAATTGAATTTTTATCTGCCCCTCAACAGTTGGTCTTTATCCACTCATGCGCTGCGGAATGTTTCCCCCTGGCTCCTCCTTTAGGTCCGCGCACCTTTAGCCCCCGCTTGAACTCCTCATACACTCCAGGTGTTCTATGCGGCCTGATTTTCCTTTTCTGTGATGACACGTTGATTGGGTGTGACATTCCTCACATTGTCGAATATCATTTTCACCTGTTGTGTTGAAACGGCTGCATGACGACCAGATCGCTTTTATTTTTTGAGCGATACACGCGCCTGTATTTCCTTTGCTGCGATATCGGTTAGATGGTTCAATCAGAAGCACATTTCAACATACTTGTTAGCGCATCTGAAAATGATGCTGCCTCATCTTTCCGTTAAATTTTTTCTTGCCTGTTTCTAGTACCTGCCCTTAAGGATAGTTTTTATTCCATTCTTCGAAATTTTTGCGGTAAACATTCCACTGATCTCAAGAAACCAGCAGAATGAGAGTCCTTTTCCACAACCAATTACTCACGTGTAAGCGTTCAGGTATGTTTTACCGATGGGGCCGACGCACACTTCTTTAACATGCCCAACAAAAGCATTCAGGTCTAATTGGTGAATCATGCATACTCGACGTACACAAGACGCTGATTGGGCCGTGGCTCGTTCCACCCTGGGTGCATGGAATCACTCGTTGAGCCTAACATGGTCACAAAAACCGTGCACTCACCAGCAATGGTTAACAGTCTTTTTGAACCAGTAATTAACGTGGAGAATGCTGGACAGGTAAGCAACTTGTCGACATTCCTACCAAACACATCCGCACGGGGATATCGATTCACAGCCAACACCTAAAATACCATAAACTCAACACGGTAGGCACACACACGGACAAACGGCAGCGATGATGTAGCGCACGTGTCACCTTAGCCGCATGATTGGCAAGGGAAGGCATCAGCAGTACGCCGGTACTGCCTATCGGCGCCTCGCTGCCGCACAACCACCAACGGTCGCGCGTGGCCTACGGATACTAGGAAGGTCGCTTGGTCCTCCACGCAGACTCGAACTCACGATCATCGGAAAATAAGGCGGGCTTATGATCATTTAGGTTACTGGTTGGCTCACGTTATTGGTCTTGGTTAGTAAACGGAATAGAATCCGAAGTACCAATCGCTGCGGTGATGTTGATTACCAATTCAGCTAACCGATCTTAGATGTTGGCCCCACATGGCAACGCTGGTGGCTTTCCAAGCCGGTTTGGCTGAGGCAATCGAGACCGCATATACTACAACACCATACGCTGGACTTCGATGGGCTAGATTTCATCGGCGCAAACAATACTGTTTACTGCTGCAACTGGGCCACCCCCTCTTAATACGCTCTCGCCATTGGCGACGATCCACTGCCTTTGATTCCCAAGACATAAAATCAACAGTAGTCCGTGGTAAACTCATTTTGATCAGGTCCTGGTATGGCAAACGGTTTTTCCACGTGCCGCTTCCCTGCACGCAGTTGGCCATAAAACAACTTTCACTATCCGGGTCTAATCAATGCGACGAATATGCCCGATTCACCTCACCTGCATCAGAAGAAGTATGCAGTTCAATGCATGTATGCCACTGCGGCGCAACTCGGACACCCCGCGTTCCATACCTCCTTGCGCAGCTCCCTCTTTATTTATTGATCCATGGATGTTACGCTCGCAAGCCAGCGGAATTTCGTTGCTGTCTCCAATACATCATCAGCAACCTGCATTTGCGGCAAGGCCATAGACTTCATTCCACATGGATTTACGATGATATATGTACAAATTGGTTCACGCCAACTTGAAATCAGTGCCATACTCAGCTCCACGCAGTACAGTGTCATGCACACTTCACTCATGTCACATTGGCGTAAGATGACGTAGTTGAGCATGCCCATTCCGGTGCGTCCAAGGGGTTGTCACTCGCACCCAGTGCAGACCGGGTGCCCGTGATCGTCAGGCCCGTTCGTAGGAGTTTTTCCAACCTTTTAGGATGTTTAACCAGCACCAGCCTCTTCCAGCTTGTCTCCGTCAACGATCTGGGTCTCACTGAGTGCGGCGGTGTCTACCCCTTAGCGCGCGAGTTCCATCGCGACAAGTGCAGTGCGTCACTCAAGACGCTCACTCGTGTTCCGGTTGAGAAGTGTGCGCACGTCCCAGCACCCGATGTCGAGCGCTTCGCCCGTTGAAATACGCTTGCGCCAGGCAATTGCTCGTGTGCGGAAGTAGAGGGTCAAATATCCAACACATCATTTGAAGGAAAATCGACACGGAGTTTGCAGCAAAATAACAACCAGACAAATCAAATAAAGCGGAAGACTTTTTATCCAGATCAAGGTCTACTTTATCCGTAAGTTGCTGTTGCCCAACTACAATGGAAAAGTATAATCTTTGCGACATCAGCCTCAGCGTGAGTTTACGTGTGTCTTTGTTTGGAGCGTAGATATTCGTTTGCTTAATCGATACGTATCACACTGAAAATTGGACACATTGAGATATTCGCAACTTATCAATCATCTTTAACGGCATGCCCTTTACTGATAGCTCGTGAGCATGCTCTGCTCTTCAGGTTGCACATATACTCATCAGCACAGTGCACGAGCTGCAAGACGGTAGCCACTAGGTCCATCTCAGTCCCATCTGGCCTGATGACTGTCCTTTTGGTGTTTGATATTCGAACTTCTTGTCTCGTTCTGCACGATGTGGTTAGCACTGGTGTCGTTGTCGCCTTTACTCACTGTGTATCTTCTGCCGCAGACATATCGGATAATATTTCTTTTAACCTGGCTTATGGTAAGAAAGAAAGCATTCAGCTGTGCGCAAGGGCGTCGCACCGACGCTTCGCCTCCA